ACACACACACACACACACACACACACACACAAACACACACGCTCACAGACAGCCTCTCCCCAATATGGGTTTTTGCAATTTACATATATGCAAAGATGCATAAAAGCATGATGGTACGTTGGGATCTTTGTTGATTATAGGCGAGTAAATCAGGCAGTAAAGCTTGATGCATACCCCCTCCCACATATTGATACTTTGCTGCACAGCCTTCAAGGTAAAACGTGGTTTTCTAAAATTAATCTTATGTCCGGTATCGGTAGTGTGCCACGAGCGAAGGGGCGAAACCAGTATCTGCTTTTTCGACATAAGGAGGTCATTTAACGTACAATCTTTTGGATTGGCAACATCACCCGCTTTGTTTGGATTGGCAACATCGCCTGCTGTTTTTGTCGCGCTGGCAGGATCGAATGAGCGCGAAGTGTGCGATTTTATAGATGGCATTATTGGATGCTCGTCTGTCATGAAAGATGCTGAGCAGCAGGATTCACAGAACAGACCGTACTACCTTCAATTCCAGTATCACAGGCACGGCCGTATATGTCTCAAGCATGGATCAGAAAAGTGCAGATTCGGGATTCCATTTTATCCAATGCGCGAAGCTCACATTTTACGGTCACTACCGGAAACAGTCAACTTAAATGAGCGCCAACGTCTTGCCAGACGGCTGCGGCAGATAAAGGCTGTTCTGAACCAGAGCGAAAATCTTGGCGGTCACAGCCTTGACGAATTTCTCGGTCGATGCCAAATTTCTGAGGAAGAACTTCTATCAGCAATAAGGTCTGAGCTGCGAAGATGTAAAGTATGTTTGCGACCCAACCTCCGACGATTGCTTTGTACACGGCATAATCGAAAACTATTCGGAACGATCGGCCGAATTGGAAGGGATCTAACTTGCCGATTTCGCCGCTTGCTACAACTATTGCAAAACCAGACCACGAGCAGCCCGACAAACTGCAGCAGTAGTTGATGAAGATGCAGAAAGCGGAGACGAAACTGATGACATTCCTGCACAAGAATATTACATCGAATTAATGGATCACGCAGGATACACCAGAAAATGGCCGAAACCAAAAATCATTCGCTATCGGATGTACAGTGTCCAAACTTAGCCAAAGCAGCCCTATACAGAGCTGGTGATGCTCTATTACCCCTGGCGAAATGAAGAGGAAATTGTAAATGCCGATTGCGAATCGTTGTTCAGTAGGCACCGTGAGGAAATAATGCAAAACAGGAACTATCACTACATCACAAACGGTGTATTGGACGATGCCACGGAGCAAGCACAGAATGATGCGCAAGCTAGAGTAACGGAGGCGGAGATGGATCCATTTGCTCCCACATTTGACTTTGACAATTATTACCTCGATGAGCAAGAAGTGGCTCATGTTGAAGATGGGCAATATGAACGAATTCAGTACGCGGAGAATTTCCAGCTGCCAGAAATATCGAGGGGCAGCATACGAAACCAGCAAATGACTGAGGGCTGAACTCGAAGTTTTAAATTGTACAAGTACCGGGAGCATTCCATGAAATTTTTTTTTTCTGGTTTTCGAGCTAGCCATTCAACTGCAAAAAACATTGAGGCGCCGTTCGTGAGAGTTACGAATGCCTCGTGGTTGAATTCGATGTACCTATGTTGTACATGCACTGGCCACATTCCTTGAAAGGTTAGCGCCCTGGCACTGTTGGCATTCGAGCTAACCATTCAACTGCAAAAAATATCGAGGGGCCGCATGCAATAAAACGAGTGACTAGCGCTGTACTCGACATTGTAAAATTTTCACGCACTGGAAGCATTACCGAAAATTTCAGTCATCTAGCCATTCTGAATCCCGAGCTATCCATTCCGCTGAAAAAAATGTTGAGAGGCAGCATACGAAAACAGCGAATGGCTGAGGGCTGAACTCGACCTTTTAATTTGTACAAGTACTGGAAGAATTCCTGGAAATTTTTGGTCTCCTAGCTTTTCCGGTTCCCGAGCTAACCATTCAACTGCAAAAAATATCGAGGGGCCGCATGCAATAAGACGGGTGACTGAGCGCTGAACTCGACATTCTAAATTTTCACGTACTGGGAGCATTAGTGAAAATTTCAGTCTCCTAGCCTTTCTGAATTCCGAACTACCCACTCCACTGAAAACATATTGAGGGGCCGCATACGAAAACAGCGAATGAATGAGTACCGGGAGCTTCCTTGAAATTTTCTGTCTCCTAGCTTTTCTGGTTTCCGAGCTGACCATTCCACTGCAAAAAAAATCGAGGGGCAGCATAAGACTGCAGAGAATGACTGAGATCTGATCTCGAAATATTGAAATGTGCAAGAACTGGAAGCATTCCTTGAAATTTTCGGTCTCCCAGCTTTTCTGGTTCACTAGCCAGCCGTTCAACTGCAAAAAATATCAGTTGGCCGCGTGCAATAGCAGCGAATGACTGAAGGCTGAGCTCGACGGCATAAATTGCACAAGCACTGGGAGCGTTCCATGCAATTTTCGGTCCCCTAGCTTCTATCAATCCCGAGCTATCCATTCCACTGCAAAAAATATCGAGGGGCCGCATACGACAACAGAGAATGACTGAGGGCTAAACTCGACATTCTAAATTTTTCGTGTACTGGGAGCATTGCTGAAAATTTTAGTTTCCCAGCTTTTCTGAATCCCGGGCTATTCATTCAACTGCAAAAAATATCGAGGGGCCACAACCAACAACAACGAATGGCAGTGGACTGCCCGCCACATTTTAAATTTTACATATACTGGGAGCATTCCTTGAAAATTTGAATCTCCCAATTCTTCTGGATCGCGACATAACAGTTCTACTGCAAAAAATATCGAGGAACCGCATACGATGACAGCGATTGACGCAGGGCTGAACCCGACGCTTTAAATTGTACACGCACACGGCGCATTCCTTGAAACTTTCGGTCTCCTTCCTGGTTTCCGAGCTAACCATTCAACTGCAAAAAATATCGAGAGGCCGCACTCAAGGACAACGAACGACAGTGGGCTGAACTCGACATTTCATATTTTAAATGTACTGCGAGCATTCCTTAAAAATTTGAGTCTCCCAGCTTTTCTGGGTCCGAGCTAACCATTCAACTTCAAAAAATATCGAGTGACCGCGCGGAAGAACAACGAATGACTAAGGGCTGAATTCGAAGTTTTACATCGTACACGCACTGGGACCAGGATATGTACAGCACCTATGCTGTACATGTCCTGGTTACATTCCTTGAAAAGCTAGCGCCCTGGCATTCCTGGCATCCGAGCTAAACATTCAACTGCAAATACACCGACTGGCCGTATGCGATAACAACGAATGGCTGAGGGCTGAACTCGACATTTTAAATTGTACAGATGCTGGGAGCATTACTTGAAATTTTCGGTCTCCTAGCTTTCCTGGTTTCCGAGCTAACCCTTCAACTG